AACATCAATCCATTAAGCTTCCTGTTTCTCATTAAGTATAGAAGTGGACAAGTTCAAACTTTATTTAGTATGTTGCAGATGAAGGTATCACAATGTCATCTCATCTAATTTCAGTTTCTTTTCATATTTGCCCTGAAGGGTTGTAACTTCTTTTCCCAGTGTAAAGCCTGGAATACAAGCTGTTTTCTATGGTATTGAGGTTAGATTCATAGAGTCACAGAATCATAGAATATGTCAGGTTGGAAGGGCCTCATAAGGATCATCAACTCCAACTACCTGCTTCTCACAGAACTACCTAAAACTAAGTCATATGACTAAAAGCATCATGCAGACACTTCTTGAACTCTGACAGGCTTGGTGCTGTGATCACTTCCCTGGGGAACCTGTTCCAGTGACTGACCACCCTCTCAATGAAGAACCTTTTCCTAATACCCAACCTGAAATTCCCCTGGTGCAGCTTCGTTCCATTTCCTCATGTCCCATCACTGGTCACCAGAGAGAGGAGATCAGCACCTCCCCCTCCACTGCCCACCTTGAAGAAGTTGTAGACTGCGATGAGGGGACCCCTCAGCCTTCTCTTCTCCAAGCTGAACAAGACGGGGGACCTCAGCTGCTCTTCATAAGTCTTGCTTTCAAGACCTTTCACCATCTTGGTTGCTCTCCTCTGGACACACTCTGATAGTCTGATGTCCTTCTTACACTCAGGTGCCGAAAACTACACACAGCACTTGAGGTGGGGGCACACCACTGCAGTGTAGAGTGGGACAATGACCTCCCTTGACTGGCTAGCTATGCTGTGCTTGATGCAGCTCATGACACAGTTGGCTCTTTTGGCTGTCAGAACACACTGTTGACTCATATTCAACTCGCAATCAACCCAGACCCCCAGATCTCTTTCTGTGCGTCTGCTTTCCAGCCTCTTCCCCAGGATTACCCCATCCCATATGGAGAATCTATCACTTTCTCCTGTTATATTTCATACAGTTTGTGATTGCTCAGTTCTCTAGTCTATCCAGATTTTACTGATAGGCCTCTCTACCCTGTAGGGAGTCCACAGATCCTCCTAGTTTAGTATCATAAACAAACTGAATGTACATTTGATTCCTGCGTCCAGATTATTTATAAAAACATTAAAGAGCACTGACCCTAAAATTGACACATGGGGAACCCCACTGGTGACTGGTGACTAATGTGATCCCATTTACTACAACTCTTTGAGCCGGACCCATCAGCCAGTTGTTCACCCAACATATTATGGACTCATCTAGTTATATGCTGGACATTTTGTCCAGAAGGGTACTGTGAGAGACAGTACCAAAAGCTTTGCTAAAATAAAAAAATCCCCACATCTACTGGCTATCCTTGGTCAACTAGATTGGTGACCTTGTCATAAAAGGAAATTAAGGTAGTTAAACAGGACTTTCCCCTCGTGAACTGATATTGAATATGGCAAATGACTGCATTGTCTCTCAAGTGTTTTTCAGTAACTCCCAGAATAGCTTTCTCCATAATTTTAGCAGCCACCGAAGTGAGACTAACAGGCCTGTAATTACCAAGGTCTTCCTTTTTACCTTTCTTTACAACTGGGATGCTTGTCAGCTTCCATTTGACTGGGACCTCTCCAGACTCCCAAGACCATTGAAAAATAGTGGAGAGAGGTCCTGTGATAACATCAGCCAGCTCTTTCAGTACAGTGTGATGAATCCCATCAGGCCCCATAAATTTATGCACATGCAGCTGGAGCAGCATGTTCAGGGTCAGCTGCGAGTTTATCATCCCTCCAGCCATGGTCTTCTAATACAGGGCACCGTGGGTCCTAAGACCCATCACTGGAGTTAAAGACAGAGGTGAAGAAGGCATTAAACAACTCTGATTTGTCTATGTCCCTATTTGTGAGGTGATCAAACTTGTCAAGTAATGAACCACTGTTATGTCTGATCCTCATTCTGCTGTTAACATATTTCTGTTGTCCTTCACAGTACTGGCAAGCTTGAACTATAATCAAGCTTTAGCTGCACGAATTTTCTCCCTACAGTGGCAAACAGCATCTCTGTAGTCTTCCTAGACAGTGCTGCTTGTCCTTGCTTCCAATGTCCATACACTTTACTTTTCCAAGTTCTAGAAGTTCAAAATCCCTGCTCCACCAAGCCAGCCTTCTGCCCTGCTTGCTTGACTTCTGACAGTTTGGAATTCCCCACTCCTGATCTCTTAAGAGATTGCTCTTAAAAAGTGATCAGCATTCATGGACCCCAATACTTTCAAAAGCAGATTCTTGGGGGACGTTGCTAACTAGTTTCTTCAGCAGCCTGAAGTCTGCTTTCCCCATATCAAGGGTGAAAATTTTGCTGGCAGTTTTTCTCCTATCACCAATGATTTGAAACTCAACTACTTCATGATCACTGTGACCAAGACAGCTACCAATCACCACCTCACCCATAAGTCCCTTTCTGTTTACAAACCACAAATCTAGGAGGTTGTTTTTCCTAGTTGGATCCCTTAGTACCCGCACCAAGAAGATATCTACATTGTGCTTCAGAAATTTCCTAGACCTGTTTGTGTCCACTGTATGATATTCCCAGTTGATGTCTGGGAAGTTAAAATCACCCATAAGGATGAAGGCAGTTGATCTAGAGATCAACTTGATCAATTCCTTGTAGAATAATTCATTTATGTCATCGTCCTGGCTAGGTGGTCAATAGTAGACTCCCACAACTATATCCACTTTATTGGCTTTCCCCTTCAACCTTAATCAGAGGGTCTCAACCATGTCATCACCATCTGTAAGCACCATAAAATATAACCCCTCCCTTACATACAGTGCCACCCACTCGCCTCGTCTGCCCTGCCTACCACTACTGAAGAGCCTATAACCATCCATCGCCACACATCAGGCACAGGATTCACTCCACCAGGTTTCACTTATGCCAATGATGTGGTAGCTCTGGGTCTGGACGAAAGCTTCTAGCTCCTCTTTATTCTTCATGCGGCATGCATTAGTATAAGGACATTTCAGTTGTGCTCCAGTGTATTCAGCACAGTGTGGAGCAGACTGAAGGACCTCGTTAGCAGACCATCCCTGGAGCACTGGCATGCTGCCCCCAGGCTTATCTCTAGCAAGCCTGGTTTTATCCCTTTCCCCCTTCAAATCTAGTTTAAAGCTCTTTCAGTGATCCCTGCTAACTCTTGTGCAAAGACACTTTTCCCTCTTTGAGAAAGGATTATCACAAAAGCATCAACAAATGAACACTACAGAACATCCATGAGAGTTTACCCATTTAGTAAGTAGAAAAAGGTACCCAAGAAGACACCTGAAACACAGCTGGGGACTGATGCCATATTGTCTGGATCTCCAACCAATTCCAACCATAAGCAAGCTATTCTTTTCCTTCATTTACAGAAAATTACCTAAAACAAATTGGTGCAATTTTTTTTGAAGACTACTGGACCCTCATTAACAAAAAGACATGTTAACTCATTTCTTCTACATAACAGAAAACCAATTTAGGTCTGGATAGCCTAGGTTCAATTGATTAGCAACAGCTTTGAGTGGAAGAGTCTTAAAGAGCAGATCATAAACTGAAAACTATCATTATTTGTATAAATGCAGGAAGCAAGACCTATGCTTACTCTCACTTTCCTATATCAGACCTTTCTTCTTGTCACAAATACATTTATAACATCTCACAGGTAATAATGTATTTTCAGAGGGGAAATTTCAGCCTCTCTACCGCAGCCACAGGTCATACAAAGGCATAACTCTCAGTAATGTTATATGAGTGCAGATTGGCCTGTTTTCTGACAGCTGCCAAGCCTGGTGAAGCATGGAAGCAATATGTGAATTGCAACAGTAGAATCTCTGAATGTTTTTAATTAATGAATTCCAGGGAGCTGGAGAAAGCTCACCAGCAACAAAAAGGAAGGTATTTCCCAGAGACATTTGAAAGCCTAACTTAGTACTCAACCAGCCAAAACATCTATAGTCCTGAGAAAAGAAAAAAGATTTTCTAATTAAATGATGTTTTGTGCTTTTTTTGTGTCTCATGGGATGTGGGACTGGATCCTTATGAAAACTTTTGCATAAAAAATCCCATTTTATTTACCACCAGTGTGATTTTTCATTGTTAATATTCTTACACTCTGCATATATTAAGGCACATTAATAAATGAAAGCAGCAAGTCAACCTGTCAGATATTTCATAAAGTACCATGGGAAATGATTGGTTTAGGATGAGTGGACAAAATCTGTTTGTTCAGCAAACAATTTTAGCTGGGGTCCAATAAATGTATGCATAGCATGGTCATACTGAAAGTTAACTGGGCTCAAAAATACACCGTGCAGCTGAACTTTTGGGACAGCAGAGAAACTTAATGTTCTGGCACTTCATGGCTCAATCCTACCTCCTTACATGAAGGAAGAAGCATTACAGTTACACTGAGGGGTGACAGAACTTTAGTTTGCACATTCTCTTGGACTTCTGAAATGCTAGCAACAAAAACATCCATAGTTAAGGCTTCAGGGAAGGAAGAGAATATCCACAAACATGATAGTTAAGCCTGGAAGGTGAGATTGAAGTAAGTCAGCCAAACAAGATTATGTACAGTCAAAAACAAAGCCATTAACTATCCCCGTGAAACAACATTTTATTATCCTAAATTGCTAAATGTTGATAAGCTGGTATTTTCATGTGTTTTAAAGCCATAAGGAATTTCTTGGCAAGTTACTGTCAACTTGTATCCTCTAACAGGTCCACAGAAAGACAAGAAGAACTCTGTAAGATACAGCCTCCAAATTCTCCCTTGCACAGGGAAGGGAGTTGAAACTCAGTGTGGTTTAAGAAGCTCTTGAAAGATTTTCAGGAGACTCTGTATGAACACTGACAGCATCAAAGGTATGTGATCCCATTCCCTACCTGTTTTCTGCCATGCATTCCAGCCATGATATCCCTGGAGCCTGAAAAGCTGACTGCATAACAACAGCCTAGCATGAATTACCTTTTCAGTAGGTTTACCGTCTTGGGAGATGATGCTTCTCCTTGTTTCCCAAACTACCCTTCGACCTTCTCATCCTAGTAGCCCATTGGAGACTTCCATAGAGCTGCCTGGACCACCCCACAGCATCCACCCTGTGGAAGAAACAAATATTGAAAAACTGTGATGCAGCAATTAAATCTTCTAGAGACATAATTTGAAGACAATGGGAGCAAATGACTAAAAAGGTGACTAAAACATGATATAGAACTGTCATTATACTATCTGAGAAGGGAGGGGAGTTGTAGGATTATAGTATCCCCTAATTGTACTTGTATGTATAATACAACTGCTGAAGGCACAGTTAATTTCAATAAGACTTTAAGACACAAATGTAAGCAGAGATTTCAAAGGCAGCAATTAGTCAATAATGTGATCACCTAATCTTGCATATGAGAATCTTGGCTATTGTAAATGCCTGTATTTTTGCAAGCTTAGCAGTAGTAGAAAGAGTACGTGTGTCACTGCTATATTTCTGTAATGAGTAGCTTCATCATACATCATACAGGATATGCTGGTAGAAATTAGGTCTTTCCCTGTCATCAGTGAATGGTGAAAAACAGACACCTCTTCAGGGCAAGGTATACCTTCCAGCACTGGAACCTTCTTTCATTTAGAGTCTTACATGCACATTTTGGCAAAATTTAAAATTGGACAAAAGTTTAAAAAATAATTACTCTGCTAAATCATTTTCAAGTTATAGTCTGGATATACTGCACCAAATTCCTGTTTCAGTCAATGAATAAATAAATATTAGAAATAATAAACATACATATAATTTCATATGAGTATCATACATATAATTTTACCTTGAAAACACTGATAGGAATGAGATAAAAAACAACACTTTTATTTCAATTTTTTTAAAAACATTGTTCATTTACTAAAGGAAAATAAATTCTACTGTCTCTTGTTTATGACAAAAGACAATTAAGTAAATGGTGACTCCATATAACCCATAAGTCACTGATTCTGCTTTTCAAAGACCTGCCTGCTTTCTTTCCCTTTGGCCTCGGCTGCCTAGCAACCTCCACAGAGCTTTCTCAGTCTATACTAATTCTGGAGAGTTTTCATTTATATATTTATTTATGAGAATGACTATAAGGAGGATACAAAAACAAAGAACTGTTTGTTGCTTCCTTCTAACACTGGACTCCAAACTTGTCACCTCAGTGTCTCAGTGAAGGACACAGCCTTTAGTTTTGCAGAGAGATTCCTACCTCCTTGAAATTGCTTGGAACTATGCAAATCCCACCTTCCAGGAGACAAAAGCTGTGTCTGTAGGAAGTTCCTACAGATGGAATAGGCACTGATATTTCTTGCCCTCCCTGGTGATTTGATTCTTTGATAAGCTTCTTCACCCTAAAATACTCAGCGTTTATATAAGGCTCCTGTTTCATGCAGACTGGAGATTTTATTTAACATGAAGGCAGCTTGTGCTACTGTACTGGGTCACCAGCAGTTCCTGCATCATCCAAGCACTGGTGGGAAATGGATATTAAAACTGATCTTCTGCTGTGTCTGTGACACAAAGCAGGACAGTTTGGAAGTTATAGATGGGATTACTTATTATAATAAGTAGTTTGAAACTGGATATGGACTGTCTCTCCCTGAACCAGCCATCAGCTTTTTGTGGAGGACTATATTTCCTCAGGGTTATTTTTCTTTATTGTTAGTGCAAAATTGAGGATGCTACAAAAAATATCTCTGCACTACATAAAAAATACTTATTTTCTTGCCAATTCTATTTGAACAGCACTTTGCAAATACTTTATGCCCTGATCAACACAGATCTCTCCTCCAATCAGAAAGGAAAAAAAAAAAAAAGAGAGAGAAAGAGATGGTCAAAGATGTGTCCTGAAAACCTTAACAGGCCTTTCCAAATGATATGGTAAAGAAATGTCAAGTGTTCATAACTTGTGGTCACATGGTGATGATGTGGGTTTTGATGTCTCACTAATTCTGACTCCTAAACTAGTATGGAAAAGTTCCCATTTGCTTCTGGATCAAACTGAAGCCTGAAACATAACAAACCAATGTGTCTCAAGACATAGCAATGTACCTTGATCATTATATTACATTACATTTATTTCTCATTAAGTTGATCTGTAGCTGTGCTTCATCATTAAGGAACAAACCAGGAATCTGCAACAGAACATGAACCCAAAACCAGATCTCCTAATTTCCATTTTCTGTTTCTTACCACCAGAGATATATACATAAAGATAAGGCTGTGTTAAACATTACAACAATTGTAGGATTGTGGAAATATTTGTAAATCTCTGTGTTTACATATACTTCGGCATCAGCATTCATTTATCCTAAATTTAATGGTATGAAATGTTAGGTTTATTTTTATAATCTTCTTAATATTGTAATAGGAAACAAAAAATATATTGCATGGTATAACACTGTCCAGTGAAATAAAATATAAACAACGACATGAATAATAGAAAAATATTCAAAAATAATCTGCTTCATTTTTCAGAGGTACTTACAAACAATGAAAACATCCATGCAAACTGAAATGTGCAAAATGATTCATGAAACAGGAGGAAGTTACTGGGAGTAAACAGAGATCTGGGATTTCTTTTTGTATTCATAGAGTCAATATAAACAATTTTCTAAGTTGCTTTACCTCTATCACTCTACACAATGACATAAGTTTGTAGTTCCCAGCAAAACTCTCAATCTATACTCTTGAGAATTATACAAATAAATTCCAAGTATAATCCAAAATTAAATAGTTGTTTATTGACAAGCAGTTTCCACATATGTATGTTCATTTTTCACAGATTATCATTATTAAAGTAAAAACTGAGCACAAGGCATTTCCCTCCTTTGCAGAGTATGATCATGATTTCATATGCTCTTCAATGTTAAGCTAAACTATCTGAAAATAAACCTAATGAGGAATACCAGAAGCATAGACTTACACCTGTTTTCTCACTTAGTTTTGTGAGAAGTCTGTTTTTAGTAAGTTCAAGAACATGTAAATAGACAAGAGAAGAGAAAGCATTAATGCATTTTTACAAAGAATTGTTATAATAGTCTTTCCTACAGAATTAATTGGAAATTCTGCCAAAGCAGCTACCAAAGGGAATATTTTGGAAATGAGAAACAATACAGAAAATAAAATCTGTCAAGATAAATGGAAAAAAAAGTTGCAAGCAGTATCATACTAAATTTCAAAGATTATAATTAAGTACTAAATCTACATTTACACTGGAAAATATCACCTGCCACGTAGTTATGCTTACAAAAGAAGAGGTATACCAACAAGACTGATTTTTACCATCTTCCTCCCTTCCTCTGTTACTCATAAGAAAAGAATCATAGAATCATCATAGAATCACAGACTAGTTTGTGTTGGAAGGACTTTACTGATCATCTGGTCCCACCCCCCTGCCCCGGGCAGGGCCCCCTTCCCCCAGCCCAGGGGGCTCCCAGCCCCGTCCAACCTGGCCTGGGACCCTTCCAGGGAGGGGGCAGCCACAGCTGCTCTGGGCACCCTGGGCCAGCGCCTCACCCCCCGCACAGGGAACAATTTCTGCCTTACATCTCATCTAAATCTGCCCTCTTTCAGTTTAAAACCTTTTACCCCTCATCCTACCCCCACCCCCTGATCCAGAGTCCCTCCTCCCCTTCCCTGTCCCCCCTTTAAGCCCTGGGAGGCCACTCGAAGGTCTCCCCGGAGCCTTCTCTTCTCCAGGCTGAACCCCCCCAACTCTCTCAGCCCGGCCTCCCAGGAGAACTGCTCCAGCCCCCCAAGCATCTTCGTGGCCTCATCTGGCCCCGCTCGAGCAGCTCCGTGTCCTTCTGCTGTTGGGGGCCCCCGAGCTGGCCCCAGCACTGCAGGGGGGTCTCCCCAGAGCGGAGCAGAGGGGGACAATCCCCTCCCTGGCCCTGCTGCCCCCCCTGCTCTGGCTGCAGCCCAGGGCACGGGTGGGTTCTGGGCTGCGAGTGCACGGTGCTGCCTCACAGGCAGTTCTCCATCCACCAACACCCCCAAGTCCCTCTCCTTGGGGCTGCTCTCCAGCCACTCCTCGCCCAGCCTGGGTTTGTGCTGGGGATTGCCCCGACCCATGGGCAGGACCTTGCCCTTGGCCTTGTTGAACTCCATGAGGTTTGCCTGGGACACCTCTCCAGCCTGTCCAGATCCCTCTGGATGCCATCCCTGCCCTCCCACGTGTCCCTGCACCACACAGCTCAGTATCATTGGTGAACTTGCTGAGGGTGCACTCGATCCCACTGCCCATGTCACCAACAAAGATCTTAAATAACACCAGGTCAGAGAGAGATGCAAATTATTTTATTTTTCTGGATATGGACTACAACAAAATTAAATGTTAAAGAAGGCTTGGACAAAAGACGTTATGAGGAAAATGAAGTTTTATTAGGAAATATATGAAAGGAACATTATTGTTAATATAAAAGTATAATCTTCACTTGAATAATTCACTAAGGAGAATTGTAAGAAATCTTTTGAAAATAATCAATAGCATTTATCCAATTCTCAGCTCCTCATTTCCAGTACACTGATTTTACTTCATAATTATGCTTGTAACTGACCAAAATTTGGTCTAAAATCTTTAAACATTTTCTAAAAGTTAATTACGAAAATAAGTAACACAAACTCATTGAAGTTATAATCAGGCTTTAGTAATTGTTTTCAAAGCAGTTATTTTTTATAGATTGCAAAGGGATGAAAAAAGCTGCAGTAAAAGTAAGGTTTATTAAAGAAAAAGTAAACACAGTAACGTGCTACCATGATGATTTAGTAAATGAAATAAATAAATAAGCAGAAGAGAACAAACAGCTACACAGTTCCTGTTATTTTTAAAAAATATCACTACCAAGGTAGTATTCAACTGCAAAAGGAAATAAGGTTATTTTAGATGTTCTATATTACTACATCTGGTCATGATTTGCTGTTCCAGAAGAGCACAGGTTTCTTGTAGATCCTGTGCCATATCTACTTGTTCCTGTGGAAGTCCTGGGTACCCTAGGACATGTGAAAAAGCATTAGATGCTTTTATTTATGGATCTGATTCACTTGTAAACTGTTAGGAAAAATGTGTGTGATCTCTGGGTATTTATATGTTAGTTAGCAAGTAAAGGTAAAGTTAATAAAACAGGAAAATCACAGTGTGCTATGTCCACATCAGGCTTTCAACAGTCCCAGAGGGTACAGAGTGAAAATGCTACTCCAGACAGTTTTTTAGACAAAGAAAGATATCTTTATACAAATTCTGTACTACCAGTAAATATAAAGAAGTTAAGTTAAATTTTACCTCTGAATAACTGCTGACTCACTGTGCGGTAAAACTAGCTACCAGTGTTTTCTTGGTGATTTGAAAAGGTGTTCTTGCTAGTTTTCATTCCCTTCAGTTATTGACATATTCTACTATTTCAGAGCTCTATACTATTTTATATACTTATCAGAACTTTTTTACTCTAAGGAATTGGCCAAACCTCCATAAACCTCGGTTATTTATTTCAAGATCATAACTACATTTCTTCCTTATCTTTTAGTGTGTTGAAATCCTAAGGATTATTCTCTTGTATGGGACGTATAATTTCTGTGTATACTGCACTTCTCATTTTTCTTCTTTCAAGAATGCCAAATGGAAACAAAACAAAGAATAGTTGCATGTGTGATATGCCAATATTTTTGTACTTTTGCATTTGAGTTAAGCAGATGGAGATTAGGTAAATCTGTATGGTTATCTCCACAAGTGAGTTAACATATAAAAACCAATTTCTAAAATCATATTCTCAGCTTTTCTATGTGATCTGCTGTGGCAAAGAAATTAATTCATATATTATCGATTGGAAATGTTTTTGTACATCTAACATATAAGTAAGTTTATCTGCATTGAACCAGTCTTCTAGACTATTTGGCTTGTTCAGCCTAACTAATACAAAGCTGTGAGTGATTCATTTCAGAGCAACAGTACAGTGTGCAAAACAGGTCTAGTGTCTTTTTAATGTGAGTGTCTGCATGTGTGTTTATAAACATAAAATATGACTAAAAAATTTCCCCTTGCCAATATTCCCCCCATTTTATGATCAGTTCTATCAACTACTAATAATAGTCTGCAGATGACAAATGACTGGTTAACTTATTTTTTACTATAAAAGATTTGATCTGACTTGTTCATCTATAAATACACATTTTTGTGCTGTAGACACAAATATTCATTTGTGTTAGCTTCCATCCCTGCTGTGTTTGTACAACACAGTGTGACATTCACAAACAGAAAGAAAAGAGATTGAAGTGAAGAACATTTGACAGTGTTGCCTAGCATTTTAAATACAGCCAAATAAATAAATTAGTGCCAACTTCATCAACTGCTAAATTCAGTGTGGCTGAAATGAGAGTGGACCAAAGAGAAAAAAGTGAATCTTAAGTGAAAAACAAACTCATGTTTTCAACAAAGCAATACGATGAGTGTTACTGAATTCTACAGAACTCTGAATTTTAGATTAGACTTTTGCTCCTTACTGCAGCATCCGATACAGCTCCATCTTAGCAATAATTATAAGGCATTTCACCATGTCATAATGTATGATTGTCAAAGGAGTAGGCAAGGATCATTATCTCTACAAAAATGTAAGATGACAGTCTTAAAAAACCGAGAGCCACAGAAAAATTCAGAAAGCAATTTTCAGTTCCAGATCCCTATTTTAATCACAGAAAGACACAAGTTAATTTTTCTGAAAAGCATCTAAAAAATGTTGAGCTTCCTTTTCAAAACTAAAACTAAAATTCTAATATTAATAATATTAATAAAAATTATTATTATCATGAAGTGAATTATTCCCACTTTCTGTGAAATATTATTCATCTGTTGGTTTATATGCTACTGATGTCATCATTTTAGGAATCATTTACCTATTTAATGCCCAGTTCCTGGTGTTTTCAATCATTAATTTGAAGTGAATTTATGAAAATCATCTCCAAAACCAAAGCATGGAAGCCAACAGCTTGAAAGGAGCTACAGGATTGACCCTACTCACTAGTTCATGTGAACACTTCCTAGTCACAATGTATTTCCCAGGCCAGACATTTACCAAGTACAGTTTCAAATATATTAGTAATGCAAAAGCTACACCCCGATATTTAATCAATTTTCTGCCCTTTGTACCCTCAAGGTGTTGCAAAAGAAGGTAACATCACTTGCTGGTGTTACACATGGGAAAAAATTATTCCCTGAGGCTTCAAGTAGAAAGATTTTCAAAGACACCTGTTTTTTAACTGATGGACTTCCTTCAGAAGGATAGGAAGAATATGATTTGTCTTATACTAATGAATAAATGTTGTTTCTTCTACTAGTGCATAGCTACACTTCATTATTATACCTGGGAGAATAATTCCAAGAAAGGGAAGTCTTCTCAGAAATTCACAGGATCGCATAAGCAAGAAGGTAGTGATGAACTGCATTCAATGGGTATTGCAGAGAAATCATGAAATATCCATGTTTTTTCTAACTCAAAATAAACAGTGGAGCTCTCTTTATCAAGAATAATACAACTTCAGTTGATAATTTACTGATTAGCTTAATGAATCTTTTGACCATCCAGGGGTTATATGATAATATTTTTTCTGGACATCTCTAAACAAGTCAAAAGACTCACTATGAAGTTAACAGGAGAGGCGAGCTAGAACTTCAGTAGTTACACTCTGAAAGTAAATATGCCTTCATTTATCTGGTGGAAATACTGTGTGGGACATCTTGAATAATTTCAGTTCCACACAACAGAGGGAGTGATGCTCATACCACAGCCGTACACCTCATTATAAAAGACACACCAACACAGTCCTTATGATGATATGAATTCTTGCTCAATTGATCAAATGATTGCCATAGAGCAACACACAAAAGAGCTTACTTTTAAGACATTAAACATATTGTCCAGCAGTTATGCATGAAGAATATTTTTTTTGAATTTGCAAATTTGTGTCAAAATACACATTTTAAGAAGAATATTCATGAAGTGTTAAGCTGTACTTAGTAACATCAATGTCTGATAGAAGAATCTTTAGATACAGGTTTTGAATAAGATCTGTATTTGATCTAGTAGAACTGAAGTCTTATTTTCAAGCTATAGCAATTTACCATATTATCAACACATCATCATATGTGATACAAAAAATGCTCTTGCCCTATGAAATGTGCACAATGTTGAATTTGTAGATCATTTAAAGGTATATATGACTTGGATTTCAAAGGAGGTTTTATATATTATTTGTTAAACAAGAACTTGTTGCTTTTTTCTAATAGAAAAGCAAGTAAGAATATACGAGTGTACCAAGTAAAAGCACTGATAAGAACATCAACAGTGTGTCACTGTTAATTTGCATGTATTACATCTAAACTAATTTCTAAGTTTATATGAAATGAAGATAATAGAAGGCATAGACTGACAAGCAGGGATTGATGCATAACTGATATTCTCTGCAACACAGAGTAGAAATCTCTGAAGCTTGAACTACTGAGAGGTGCAATACAATGTTACATGCAAAAGAACAGTGATCAGTCCTGAAGTTGTTATGGAAAACTGAAAAAAAATAAACCAAACCAAAGCAAACTCAAAACTCAAACCACAAAACAATCAGTGTAGAGCCATTAGAGATTAAAGATCATAAGATTTTCATTGAGTGCTATTGCAACAGTGTGGTCGATCAGTATACAGAAAAGCAGTTAAAAATATGAGTTGCTTTCCTGTCTCTAAATTGTTCATATAATAATGACCCATTTCCCTGCTAATAATGATGTTTTAAATAATTTTCCAGAAATAAATATATCTAGAAATAATGAAAACCTATATATTGAGATTAATTATGTGTGATTGGACATATAAGTCATATAGTATGGTGATTCAGAATGCATGATCCAGCTTTAACAGATGGAAACAGGTCAGAAAAGTCTCTGAACATCTTTGAGAAAAGAAACTGGGGCTTTAGATCTGAAAGGACATCAGAATCTTTTTCTTTATCCTAAAAATTATGTGATTTGGAAATTACCTCCAATTTAAAATTAGTTCTGTTCCCTCAGAGGGGTGAAAAGAGGATAGCTACCACGTCACTATATCCTGGGCTGCAGCCAGAGCAGGGGGGGCAGCAGGGCCAGGGAGGGGATTGTCCCCCTCTGCTCCGCTCTGGGGAGACCCCCCTGCAGTGCTGGGGCCAGCTCGGGGGGCCCCCAACAGCAGAAGGACACGGAGCTGCTCGAGCGGGGCCAGAGGAGGCCACGGAGATGCTGGGGGGGCTGGAGCAGCTCCCCTGGGAGGCCGGGCTGAGAGAGTTGGGGGGGTTCAGCCTGGAGAAGAGAAGGCTCCGGGGGGACCTTCGAGCGGCCTCCCAGGGCTTAAAGGGGGGACAGGAGAAGTGGGGGGGGATTATGGATCAGGGCGTGGGGGGGAGAGATAGGATGAGGGGGAATGGTTTTAAACTGAAAGAGGGGAGATTTAGATGAGATCTAAGGCAGAAATTGTTCCCTGTGCGGGGGGTGAGGCTCTGGCCCAGGGTGCCCAGAGCAGCTGTGGCTGCCCCCTCCCTGGAAGGGTTCAAGGCCAGGTTGGACGGGGCTGGGAGCCCCCTGGGCTGGGGGAAGGGGGCCCTGCCCGGGGCAGGGGGGGTGGGACTGGATGGTTTTTAAGGTTCCTTCCAACCTAAACTAGTCTATGTCCCTTCCAACCTAAACCAGTCTATGATTCTATGATCTCTACCAGGGATGTTTGCTTTCTTGCTGTTATACCGATTACCATGATGTGAAAAAGCTATCACTTCCAGCTCAACACCTCAGTTTTCCAAAATTGCTAAAGCCAGATTCGTGCAAAAGAAGTATGTACACAATCATAATGAAAAAAAATCTGATAGAAAATGGCACAAACAACCAAAGGCAGAGCTGACATTTTTGAAAATACTATCTTCACTATATGCCCAGATTCATGAGTCCTCATTAAAATATATGGACTCAACTTGTAAATTTTTCTTTCCAGAAAATGCAGTGCCCTAACATATAGGCATTTTCAGATTATAAGTTTGGAATCAAATAAATTTAGCATCTAGTAGATCTTATAAAGTCTCATAGCAGACTTAGACTTTGCAAGGAGCTTATCTGGTTCAGACTTTTAGAATCTTTTGCAAGCAGAATTTTACCATCTGGAGTAGTAATTTATATTGTCTGTGAATGACAGCTGTACCTGAATTATCTATACACTAATGTCCCCTTTTTTGATTGCAAATGAACAAATGTGTTACTTGCAGGAATGTCCTCTTTTTTTTTTTTTTTTTTTTTTTTTCCTATTTTAATGCTACACCTATTTTCACGACTTTTTTAGATCCAGTGTAAAGCATGTGTAATAATCCATGAAAATTCTTCTTAAAATAATAAAAAGTCTGGGGTACCCACACATCCCAGGGAACAAAGCTGGTTATTTAAAGGATCATGAGGGCAAGCATTCTTCTTTTGAATATAATCTATCTGTTAGAGTATTTACAAGGAAATAGGAAAACTCAGTTCAATTCTTGCTTCAGCTTGATGGGCTGAACTTCAACTCTTCCAGAAAAGGAGTCTATTTGCTAGACTTCATGGGCCTTAAGCAGAGCCACATCTGCTAGCTATGTAAAACTGGGGCTAGAAGGAAAAGAAGGAAAACAGAATTTGGAGATTTGACTTTGAAAAGGCAGTACTGGGTTCTGATTCCTTTATTTGGGACTAATATGTTTGTAACCAGACCATATAAAAGATGCAAACCCTTCAAGATCAGTAACCCAAAGCTGGTCTTGAAATTCATTCTAGTCTTTTTAGTGTATGTTAGATATTGTTCATGGCAGTATTCTGAAGACCTTAAAGTATCTATGGATATATGAATTAGTATCCTGGAATATGCCCCCGAAAACAACATTTATAGTCTACTTAACATCATACTCAATGCATGAATGTCCTGGTTGGGGCTGGACTAGAGTTCCTGTTGGTCTGGCAGCTGGAGCAGTGCTGCAGCACCCTGAGACCCCAGGGGCTCCCCAGGTCCTAGTGCCCTCACCTGTGCGCGGGGGCGGAGGGAGCACAGCTGGAGGGCTGGGCCCCGATTGGCCGATAGTCCAAGTCATGTGACACTGCACTCACTATATAAAGGCAGGAGGGGGCCAGGAGGGGCTCTCACTTTCGGGAGTGTGGCTGCAGGGCCTCTGTGTTTGGGATCGCCAGCCAGGAGCAAGCGGGTGTCGGTCGGTGGGTGGTGAGCAGCTGTATTGTACATCACCCGCTGATACTGGTGTCAGTGTATTATTCTGTCACTGTTATTAAACTGTTTTTATCTCAACCCGCGAGTCTCCCTTTGCCCCTCTGATTCCCTTCCCATTCCCAAGTGGGGGGAGGGTGGGTGAGTGGCTGTGGGGCGTTTAGCTGCTGACCAGGCTCAAACCACGACAATGAATACCTTTTGAACAGTGTAAGAAGAGTTTCAAGTTCAGTTAAACCTACAGTAGTCAAACCCCCTGTTTTTTATTCTTGGTAGCCTAGTCATACTTGGAGAAGGATGAAAACCTCAATGAGCTCTATCATACCTTCATTGAAGACTTCCTGTGAAGAATGTTATAAATATTACCTGAATGATCATAGGCTACAAACCTCATCAGTTTTTTAGTTCATGTCTGAACTTTCATAACATTTCCTATGAAAGACTAGTTTAATCCAAGATTAGGGAAAGTAAAAACCAGAAAAAATAATCACATCTTGTGTGTCTGCAGTTGTACAGGTCTGTACTGTACAGGAACTCATGGGACAATCTCTTCATGGAGCAGGTAATTGTGCTGTAGACCTGCTTAACTTGTCTGGCAGCAACGTACACAGGACCAGGGACAGAGTCCAGAATATACAGTATGAAATAAAATCTGGACTATATTTTACTCTTGTATTCAGTAACATACGGAAATCCACAATAGCTGTACCAAAGTATTGAGTGCAAAGAATAAGAATAAAAGAATACATCTAGGAATAAATAGTTATGAAACTTTCCAAACCATTCAAACCACTAATTCAAATGACAATCTACATGCAGCAGAATTTCAGCAAGGTATTGAAATGTTAGAAAAGGAACCTGATTTTTGCTATAAAACTATTTCTATAAATATGAAACTTAAAAAGTAAAAAACCCCATGATTTTCCCTTTTTCTTCAAATGTTCTCCAGAAATAAAATTTACTCCTTGGCTAAAATCCAGTATAATGAAGCTCAGTTTCAGATCAGGAATCAGATTTTTGTATCCAAGAAATTAAACCCCCCCAAAAGCACAAACCCAACAAATTATCCTGCTATCAGACTTCAGAAATGGAATTTCAAAGAAAATCATGTTTGTGACACATCTTTGCCTGACATTGGTTTTAGTGGTTAAGAGAACTGTTAAATTATCTCAGGAAGAATTTCAGACCTCTTCTTTTCAGATTATTCTCCACATTTTCCCTGATACATTTCCCCAACCTGTGGCCCAGAACTCACAACTGATGAGTTGCAGCAACTGAGCTTCTGACACAATCACATGGAGAGAGTGGTTCCAACACATCCAGATTGCCATCTATTCTCTTGGCAGATGTTATATGTTATTATCTCCAAAGTCTGCATTTTCCTAAATCTAGATCATGCAATGTCGTCAGTAGGTGAAGACTCATTCTGCTGACTTGCTAGTTGAGACTGTAGCTGGAATGAAATGAAACACATGTTCCTAAACTACAACACAATCCCAATTTAAAATAATATTCAGGTTTATTAGTTTTTTGTCGCTGCCAAGAAGTTTAATACAATTTATGAAAGCTTGGAAATGTCAATGCTCTTGCCTTTTTATTCATATTTATTCATTAGAAAATCATCATTAAGCTAGCTAAAGAAAATGGACATGTACTTCTGGAATTCAGTTCTAGAATGAGACAGAATCTTGCAATCTCCTTAATTTCTATGCTAAAAGAATAACCAGTGCAGAAGAAATACCTCATTTACAGACATTCATTCAATTTTTCACTTATCAGCCTAAGGTAGTCAAGAGAAATGCCATTATACAAAACTCATGTTTGCTCCAATAGCAAAGGGAATGAGAACAGAACGTTTATAAACACCTCCAAGGAACTGATAAGAGATGACTGTTGTTATCTGCATCAGAGGCACAGACAAGAAGCTTCTCGCCCACTGCTAATGCCATAAGCTACCCAGTCACTCCATCTATAATGACACCCATAGGAAAATGTTCTGGGGCTAAACATTTTTCTTTTCTTTTCTTTTTTCTTTTCTTTTCTTTTCTTTTCTTTTCTTTTCTTTTCTTTTCTTTTCTTTTCTTTTCTTTTCTTTTCTTTTCTTTTCTTTTCTTTTCTTTTCTTTTCTTTTCTTTTCTTTTCTTTTCTTTTCTTTTCTTTTCTTTTCTTTTCTTTTCTTTTCTTTTCTTTTCTTTTCTTTTCTTTTCTTTTCTTTTCTTTTTTTTTTTTTTTGTGTGTGTTTTTTTTGTTGTTGTTGTTTGTTTGTTTGTTTGTTTTTGTTTTTTTTTGTTTGTTTTGGTTTGGTTTGTTTTTTTTTTTGTACTTATGCCATACTCTGCATGCTTCCAAAACATACAACACTGAGAGTTTCTTCCTCCTAAACATAGGCTGTAAAATCGTTTTTAATGAACTACCAAATGAATTCATGTATTCAGAATTCAGCTGGTTCCTGACTGCTTACTTCTTTCAAAAACTTAGAGTTGCTAGTGTCTAGAAAATTTGCTTTACTTTAGGTGAAAGAGTTCTCTGTTTTTTTAAAAGGAGGATGCGAGTTCTACATTGTATCTTCATTCAGTTTCAGATGATCACAGACAGGCACACATCAACAAATGTAACTTTCCTCAGTAGTCACAAATATGCTAAAATATACAGCACACCTGGATTACTACCTTGACTGACCTTTTCTATGTGTGAACGATTTTTTTTTCAGAAGTTAAATAATTGAGCTAGTCCAAGAGATTATGACTTCTTTGTATCACACATACAGGTAATGGTTTCTATTCCCATCCTAAGAAATACACATAGCACAGAAAGATTTTGCTGTACTGCAGCCATGGCAGGGTTATTTAAGCAAATGAAAATGTCTCCTTAAGAGCTGGTTTCTTTCTGCGCTCATTCGCATCAGAGAGAAATAGAGCTAATGCTACGGTCTTATGAGTGCTTTATGCATTCTGACAAATCAAACGAGGTTTGCCAGGAGAGGCTCTAGGCAGCATGGAACTGCTGCGATTTTACATCTCATTGATTTCCACAACGGGAATTGAAAACAGTTCTCTGCTTTCCACATGATACCAAAAATACTGTTGCAGACCTTCAGAAGAACATGCAGGTCCTCCAGTAGAGAGAAAATGAGGAAAACCAACTTTGTACAGCACTGTTTCCTCATGAATTTGAGTCAGGCCCATCTGACCTGTATGAAGTCTAATAATAAAGCAATAAGGTGACACACAGTAAAGCATGTCATTCTGTGAGCAGTTCTGCAACAGGTTACATGGAACAAA